TATCGCCTAAGAAAACTCTCAAGAGCTGCCCTAATGCTAACTATGATAGACTTGCCTCACAGCTCGGCTGTGGTTTCCTTGGTTTCCTTAGCTTTGTTGGGCAACTGAGAAGATTATGTCAGTTTGATCGAGCATTTCGAAATAAATTTACCTGTTCGATGCTGGCAATCTTTCAAATTTACACGTACATTCATTCATTTGCTGGCCAATCTCTGCCGTCTCCCCTCTCCCGTCCCCTGCTATCTTTGGCCTGCGTGCTGAAAGGCACTTTGTCAGCCGTTGGGCGTTATTTTGATAAATGATTTGTAAATGAACGTGTGAGTTTCATTGCAAATTATGAGAAAAATTAGAGTCGCTTGCTCAGGCCTCGTCCTCCTTTCCTGTGTGTGTGTGTGAACAGTGATTTTGCTGACTGCGATGCGGGAGTGCATAAGTGTGTTTATGGCTTATGGATAGACAATTTGTCAAAGTGCCAGCCAGGCAAACGACTGCATCAGTAGCCACTTCGGTGTCTGCACTTGACTCGCCGCGCTTTAAGCATTAATTTAATGCCTCTGCTCTGCATTTTATGGCAATGTCACAGACCCTAATGCGATGCATAGCCATAGAAGCTCTCTTAATATGGCATTATCAAGCTCTTACAAGCATCAAACCAATGTTATGCAAATTGCAGCTCTCTTTATGTTTTGCTAGACAAATTTGATCAGTCCATTCGCTGGGTTAGTTCCAAGTGAAACAAGTGAGTCGTGAATGAGTCGTAGTAAATACTATAAACTCTTATAGTCCATTTAAATTCAATTTCATAAATTCTATAATATTCAAAAACTGATGCAACCGATGTCAGAATTGTTGAATGGATTGGCAATTATCATATAATTCATGCGATATTGCGATATCCCTCACATTCAATGCACACAATTGCAATGCATATATATTATGTATTGCTGCCAGATATGTGACATATGAAGTGACTAGTAGTTCCTCGGATTAGCATGCTGTGACACATATGTATGTAAGTGCCCAAAGGGACTGACAGCAGCGCAATTGGGATAACGTTTGACTAACGGCAAAGCCCACAAATTCTGACATCTGTCAGGACCAATTTCGGGGCACAAGCGAAGCAAAGTCCAAGGAGTAGGAATGAATGGAAGCAATGAATATATATTGTTGCTTCGGCATTATTTATGAAAATATCAGCGAAAGGAGGCGAAGTCTGAGGTCTGCATTGACTCATTGTCACTTCAATTTGCGTTACAGCGCCTTCTCTTCTCTCTCTCTCTCTCTCTCTCTCTCCCTCTTCTTGGCCAAAAGCCATCTGATGTTGCCCAGAAGCAGCTGGCAACAGTGAGCGGGCCATGCGAAATTTGTAGCTGCCACATGGAAAATCGTGTTAGAAATACGCAATTGGCCACTCAAGCGTGAATTTGTATGCGGCCAGTGTTGGTCAATATGAAAATAATCCTTTCCACGGCGTCGGACTGAACGGCCCAACAGCTGGCCATGCAAATTCGATTTGCCCCGCCTATTGAACACAGCCAATACCCAGTAAATTATAGCAAAAGGTGATATAGCAAAGCCTTGATATGAACTCTAGTTCAATGTGAAGAGCAAGTCGAATCGGAAAATGTTATTTAAACACTTCATTAAGGATGAATGCAAAACTGCTGAGCAATTTGTTCTACCTGGTTGAATAGGTAAGATAGGAGTATACGGAATTGGAGCGTATTCCTGAATGAGCTCACTCGTTCAATTTAGTAAACTCTTTGAGTACGTGACTGTAGCGTTCGCAATTCCTCGAACAAGTTCACTAGTTCATTGCAATGAACTGTTTTGCCAATTCGACTGTAGCTCTCAAAGATCCCTGAACAAGTTCACTAGTTACTTCTAATGAACTAGTTTTCTAGGTCATTTTAATGAGGTAATTGAGCTCGTGATTGATGAACTGAACTATTGTCCAAAACTTGTACTCAATCAAAAGTGTTCAGCTGGAACAGCGCTCTGTATTTCGAGTTTAATTAATTCAAATAGAAATGTATATGTATATACAGTATATATTGTAATAAATAGAATTCTCTGATTTTCCGAATAAAATGAATTTATTTTGTTTCGCAGAAAGTCATTTTTTATGTAACAATCTCTTTTAAGCTTAATGAGCCCTTTTAAAAGGGGGAGGTATAATGTATAATGTGCATGCTCTACAAAGTAGTATACGGTGTATATCTGATTAGGATTTCCAGCTAAATGGACTTAGCCCATTTCGTTCATCAGTCCGTTCGTCGATTTTTCCGTTTCTGTCGGCATAGCCGTTTCTATCTTGAATTCCCCATATTGCATGCTCAAATCAAATTAGTTTCAATCATAGTTTGGTCCATGAAATCGATTAGAAACGTTGTCGAATTTGAATTTCCATTATTCAATTATATCTCGCACAGCTGCATGCACCGTTCCATGTGAGTTGCACACAGTTTGCATTTTTCTTCTATTCAGACACTCATATAAATTGAAGTTCATTTGCGAATATACAGTAAATATGGATAAAAATGGACTACGTGCATCGATTGCTGCAAAATGCAAAATTTAATTGAAGTTCACTCAGCTACCCAAAAGTTATCAAAGAAAACGTGTGGTTAAATGGGCGAAACCACGTGACAATCAGAGCCAAGCGAGCGCATTTCCCCACGCATGGTCACACATGCATTCAAATGAGTGCATTTTTCTTGGAAATAATTATCAATATTATTCGACTATTTAAGAAAATGGAAATTGCATTTGAATTGTGCTTTAATTTTCAGCTGTTGATTTCATTTTAATATTTCTCACTCTACGTCTAAGATGAAACTCATACTTTTATATGGCTCAGTACATATATAAGAAGTGCAAGTGTCCCTATGTATGTAATGCATGTATTAGTATCTCTCTTTGATTAAGGTCTGTCTTTAAAAGCACAAATCGGTGGTATTCCCGGTATTCCATTATCAGGCTATCTCCTCTAGAAATTTTAACTTTTTCCGATTATGTGTTTTAAATATATAGTTAAATGATTTCATAATGTATTTGACTTTCACATATATTTCATTATATACCCAATTGGGAAATCGAAAATAAAAGTATATTGCATATCTGAATAGGTAAAGTGGCTATAGTCTGATGGATCTATCAGCTGAGTTAGCTGATGTAGCCACTCTCTGGAGTTGCTTAGAGCCAAACTAAATTTATTAATCGATCATTCAATCACATGAGTTAATCTATGCGATTATTTATATGCATTGACCGACGTAAAATAATCGATTAATCAAAAGTTTTTTTTGGTATGGATTTTTAAGATATTGTATGATAAACAAATTTATTAAATTTATTCAAATTTATCAACAACTATATGGAAATATTTATTTATTAAGTCCAGAATTCAGAAACAATAGCTCGAAAGATGTGTGGTCGTCAAGGTGTTCCTATTTTCCGAAGCATCTGTCTGGTGCTTTTCTGTGAATATATTCTAGAGGCGGACACAATTATTTTTTTGAATAATCGATTACGCTTTCAATTATTATCGATACAATTAATTACGTTATTATCGATAAAGCAAAATAATCGACTATTGTGTATCATACGACTAAGCGAGATATCACTAGCTTATACGCTTTGCGTACTCCACTACACATATTTGTAGCTCAATTCTGTATCGATTGTACAGCGACGTTAACTACTTCTAAGACGTTTATATTGATAAGATAGAGTTTTCAATTCCATTTTTTAAATATTTTTAATGAAAAGACCTAGACTTTGTTCTGCTCTCTGTAGTTAAATCGATTTTAGTCGGTTATTGGCATGCGCTATATATGTAACAACGTTGCTAGCTTATCAAACTGCCCTCGTACGGTGGGCTATAAAAATTTGTTGGCCACTGCTGCTACTGTGGGTAAGTAAAACTGGTCCTGAAATTTGGTTCTTCATTTGGAGTAGGGACTGCTCGTGCATACAAATGAAACTGCTCCAATACAATGCAAATTTTTTTTGGGAACTAATGTTTGAATAGGATGGTAGACTCAAGTAAGTAGTTTTTTTTTTCATAAAAAGCAAACATTGTTGAGCAAGTTAGAAAAAGGTGTTTTTTTTGTTGGCCTAATTTTAGAATATGTTGACTCATGTGCTGAACGTATTTTTAGCTTGAAACATTCATTAATATTCAATTTTTTACTTTACTGAAATAAGTTTTCTTAAATAAACAGTTCAGAGTGCTCCAGTTTAATATGTTCAATCAGGATATAGCATTAACTCAAGAAAGACTTCGAATTGAATGGGTGTAATAATGAACTGAATCTGAACTAGCTTGAACTTTTAGTTTTTATAGGTTCCGGGTATAAAAAAAATGATTATACGGTCTAATTCACTCTAAATTTATTCATAATGCCCCTGATCTCAGCTCCAACAGCTGCCCCAACTAATATATTCCTTCTCAAAAAAGAGAGAAAGGAAAATCTTTCCCTGAATACATACTCCGATTGCCATCCATTAGCTATTACTGTTTTTGCTAAGGGACGGCGGATTTCTTTGTATTTTATGCCCGGAGTCGATCCTTGAAGGGCACTAAAACTGCGAACGTAAAGCGGCGAATGCAACAAATTTTTGTTGTTGCAACATGCCAAGTGTGTTGGACGTAAAGTTGCAGTGAGCTGGTGCTGGCGCTGGCGCTGGCACTGGCTAGGGCTACGGCCATTCCATAGACATCTGGGGCATATAAAAAATCAATTAGCTGCCTTTCTGGCGTTATGGCATATTAAAAGCGAAGATTGCCCAGAATATTTGCAATTATTACGCATAATTTGGCTCGAGTCGACGGGCCATTTCGGCCATCGCCATCGCCATCGAGCTGGGCTCGCTGATGTAACGACTTCGGGGGTCGCCGCACTTTTATTGGCACTTGGCCATCAACAGGAGGACAATACATGGGCGTGGCGGCAGTGGGAGGCAATGGCTGCGGCAATTGCCACTGTTTGACTTACCCAATATGACGAGCGCATTGCCCAGGAGTCCGGCGAAGCCAATGATGCCAAAAAACACCGGCACAATGATGGACACAACACGCTCCAGTGGCCAAATCTCGCCGTCTCGCTCCAAATCCATTTCCAGCAGATTGTCCGGATGCATTGAACTGTTTAGGTGGTCCAGTGCCGAGCTGCCAAGCATATAGTTGCTGCTGTTGTTTCCCATCTGATTGTTGTTGTCGTTGTTGTTGTTGTTCTTGTTGAGGGCAGTGCCATTGTTGCACTCGCTGGCGCTGAGCCACTCGGCGCACTCAATGGCGGCTGCCCCATGGCTGCCGGCCGGCCAGAAGCTAATTAGCATGGTCAGAGTCAGCGCGGCGGCCAGGCGGCGCCTGATCGGGCCCATTGCCACGCCCACTTGTAATAGAGCCCGCAAATGTGTATTAATTACCCCAAGCCCTTATCGCTTCTGTTGTGCCTGCTCTGATTATCGGCCTTGCGCCTCGGCTTTGTTTTCCATGCAATTCTGATCAGGCTTTCAATGTATCTGCGTGGGCTTTACACATGCAGCACGGCCCCATGCCACGCCCTCGATGCATATCCCGTCCCGGCGAGGAGGATGGGCCAAGTATCCGCGTGCAGGCCGTGAATAATGTGCCTGCAAAGGACAATCAAGCGCAATTTGTTTCAGTGTATTTTGATAAAAGTTATGGCAGGTGTAAATGCAGATACAGATACAGTTGAAAATACAAATACAGATACAGATAATATTATATTGAATTCAATTTTTTCAATTGTGATTAGGCTTCTTGATAAGCTTAATAAAAAGTTCGATTCAATGGGTGCTCAAATTTAATAAATTGCCTTCGCAATGCTACGCAATAATAACTGGCTCACAACATGCACTGCTGGCCATTGAGGTAATATGCAAAATTTAATTAATTCGTTTCATTCATTCCGTGAAATTGCGGCCAAGCATACTTGTGATGGCCGCATCATGGGCAAAGTTTTATTACATTTGCATACTTAAATAATACATCAGCTGATCGACACGGCCCGTAGTGCGGCGTGCGGCATGCGGCATGTGGCATGCGGCACGTGGCGCGTATTAATGAGCAACGCCCAAATTAGAATATTACGCGCCTAAAGGTGCCAGGGGAAGATGCTACGTTGAGACAAAAAGTATCAGGGCCAGGGATGCACTAATTGAAACCCGTGATGAGAATCGAGTCAAGTATTCCATTTGACCATGGGTAAAGTGTGCAATCCATGTGCCGCTAGTCGTAAAGCCAGTTTATAACTAGCAGATAGTTCGGCGTCGGCTTGAAGAGTAACGAAGTAAACACAGATAACCCCAGAGGTTTATCATTTACACAGGAGTACTTGAATACTTTAACAACTATTTAATAGAATTTCCTATAAGT